TAATGTAATTATTTTTTACAGTAAAAAGTAAAATCACTAAAGTACTGAACTCCGAGGAAAATTCAAAACGGAAAGTCCCTAATCAAATGGCAAAATCAAGAGCTCAAATACATCAAACGAATGGCTAACAACTGTCATATTCCTGACTTAGTACAGGTATTTTCTCATGTAAAAAATGGTGGATTGAACCTGGTTTTAAAGCTAGCTAAACCTCTCACTTGTATGACAGTCGCATCAAATTCCATTATATTGACAACGATGTGTGAACAAAACAAACAGACACAATAGGTAAAAATGTCACAAATAAGTAAACAAGTTTCTGTTTTATAAATGAAAATGAAATAATAATAATTAATATCAAAATAAATTAACAAAACTGACAAAATATTGTATATACATAACTCATAATTACCTTTGAACGCATTATATATCTCACGTTATCTTAAATACACTCTTCACTGCGTTTTATCATATTGGTGTAACATGTATTTTGTTATTTCACAACGTAGGTTTTTACATTAGAGATATAATTTGTCGAACATCATTTCAGAGGTGATTTAGGGTCAATCTCTGTTATAGATTGTTATAGGATCTTGCACACAACTTCATCTTGTTAAGCTTGAACGTAAAGTCGAATAAGTTAAATGTTATCTCTATTATTTTTTTCTGATTATAATAATTATAATTGAAAAACTACCTTTAACTAGATGTAAATTTGTATAAGTATTCTCGTATAATCGATAAAAAAGTGGTTTTGAAATCATCAAATTGTTAAAAACAATCCATATATTTTTCTTAAGAACTTATAAGTTCTTCTTTAATGGCCGTTTTATGATTGATATAAAATAAGCAGTGAGCCACTGACTTGTTTTTGATGTATTCAGTTACGGCAGTGCAGAAGTTCGAAAGATTATAATTTACCACACATCACCGCAAAGACGGTTTTTCACCAATAACTCAAATTAAACTTTGGGTATCCCCCTCCACCCAAAAAACACCATGAAAAACAAAATAATAAAAAAACAACCAAAAAATAAAATTAAAAACGCATAAACACAAACAAAATATAAAAACAAACAAAACCAAAAGCATGGAATAATCAATTTCAGAAAAAAAAATCTAAGAAATTAGTGAGAAGATTATTTTTAGAAAGTTTTCCAAAGATTTTATGTGCATTCTAAAAAACTATTGACTTAAACAGATAACTCTATGACCTAAGGAAAACGACAGTTCACAAAAACCTTTAAAGAAAACTGAAGATGAAATGCATCTTACCCCAACGAAAACCGGGACTCCATTAGTGACACCCGCGCAATGTTACTCTTGATAATCTACATTGAATAGTCATATAAAGAACAACGTATACAATTGACAAATCTGTCTTAGCTAATCCTTCGACATCACTATATTCAAAAACAGTCGGTACATGACCTTAATGGTACATTGTACATGACCTAAAGTGTAAGCAGAGTTTTACAGGATAAACAAGATTTACCCGATAGAAAAAAAAAAAATACATTGAAAAAAACAGTTCATGTTCCACTATTTGGACCCACGACATCACTGCAACTTAACTTTCACTGATATCGCCATCGGGATAAGAATAACAGAATTGTGGCTATAAGTGCAACATATCTGAGTTGATCGCTAAATCTTACAAAAATCTACAACATATCACGTTCCTTGACCTTATCCCTAACTAACGATTACTAAAGTGTTATTGCATCACGGGATAGACATTGTAAAGGTGGTAAATATTCTTGCCTGGACTTAACCAATCAACAACCTCATTTTTACCTCTAAATGGTATACATAAATGTGTTAGCTTGTGTATATAAATGTATGAGCCTTAGATGTGTTTCATATTCCGAGTATATGATGACCATTCTACAAATATACTATCAGGAGAATGAAGAATTTTACTGATGCACCAGTAAGTTGAACTAACATTTGACCACGATTTCATTACACGATTTGCTTTCTAGTACTAAGCACACCTTCTAATAGTGTTGAATGCGCATGCCAAGTTTCCTTACCTAACACAAAGGGGTTTTAAAGATGAAGAAGGAACCCGATTTTTGTACAGGAGTGACAAAGTTTTTCACCATGACTTTCACGCTACGGTGTGTATACGCAAAACACTTTCTAACAGTTCTGGATAATCATGCCAAATGTATTTACCCAACTCCTATAGGGCAGAATCAAATTGTGTTTGAAGGTCGAACTCACGCACAGATGGAAGGATGGACGGAGAAGCCGATTCTTATAGGTTTTCCGCTGGATTAAAATTTCGTTGTGGGCTATGATTGACAATGAAACAAATAAAACAAAATGAACACGAATGAAAAACACTTACTTAAGATACCAGGCTTATAATTTTGTACGCCAGACGCGCGTTTCGTATACAAAAGACTCATCGGTGACGCTCAAATAAAGAAGTTAAAAGGCCAAACACAAGTACGAAGTTGAAGAACATTGCGGACCCAAAAATCTGAAAGGTTTTGCAAAAAATAGCTAACTACGGTATTCTATTCCATGGGTAAAACATCCTCAGTATTTCTAACAACAAATATTTACTTAATAATTAATAAGTTTATTGGTCATATTATGTTACAATTGCATAATATATAACAACATAAAAGAGTTCATTAATTTGCTGCACCATGTCTATTCGATATTTGAAAATTTATTCAGTGCTTGAACCCAAATATAACATAAAACCAAAATTAAATCATACAATCATTGAAGAGCAGCTTTATCCAAAAGAACATACAACCAAACCCGGATAGGGAATCAGCGCTATATAAAAATAAAAAGATGTGGTATGATAGCCAATGAGACCACTCTTCAACAGAGACCAAATGACATAGAATTAAGCAGTTATAGGTCACCGTACGGCCTTCCATAATGAAAAAAACCCATACCGCATAGCAAACTATAAAAGACCCCGAAATGACAGATGTAAAACAATTCAAACGAGCAACTAACGGACTGGTTTATGCACACAACAATAAATGAAAAAACAAATATGATACCGGTATACAGCAACAAACAACAATTACCTAATTACAGGCTCCCGACTTGGGACAGGCACATACAGAATGTGGCGGGGTTAAAGATGTTTGCGGGCGCCCAATCCTGGGACAGTGGTGTAACAGCACAACATAAGAACAAACAATAAAAAAGAATTAAAAATGACTGAGGCAGATATATTCTTATATTTCAAATGATTTTTTTAATATCTATAACTTTTAATTAACAATATCCGTATGTTGCAGTACCAAGGAACTGAGCTGCTAGATAAGTTTTCTGTAATTCGAATAGCGTTATGATCTACATATTTGGGAGTCATCCTTTTTTCTGTTGAGTAGTTTTGAACACGTTAACATGTATCTTCCTTTTTTTTGTGTACAATATTGTATTGTTTATAATTACAAAAGACAGTTTATAGAAATGGGTACATTACGTCACTCTGGTATACCCTGAGATTTACTTGGTAAGTAAGTTCGTCACTCGAGTTTCTTTTACATTGCTTGCATTATCACAATTATAAACACGTTATTTGCAAGCACACACAAAAAAAGTTTTAACCAACAAAATAAAAAGTATCATGATTTTTTTTCACCAATATTCAGCACAAAAAAAAACCCATATAAAACCACAATTAAAAATTCACGTACACATCTACTTATAACGTAAACTAAAATATTATTGCAATTCTAAGAACAGATATTGTAAAAAAATGGTTGATTTTCCAAAATATAAAAGGCAAAAAAAATACTGGACAACAACCAAAAGTGTAGAAAATATCAATGGTCCCAAAGTTTATCCTAATCGTATACATGTACCATTGAGTGTTATTATGTATTTATACATATACCCCCTTCTTGCAAACACTTAGCATTTATAATAAGATTACCCAAAATGGATTTCTTATTTTAGTTGCATCTGATTTCTTTTCAATAAACTTGGACAATTCCCTTCGTGCCTAATGGTCCATCATTCTCCGTGTATAAAGCAGGCCATACACAGTAATCTATGATGGAACCTCTCTTTGTAAATTCCTTGTATACGTCACGGTTTATGTATGATCTTCTCACTGGTCCTTCGTCTATATACATTGGTGGGTTCTGGACTACCATTAACCATGACAAATAAACACATCGGTTAAAGTATGGAGTGTTTAAAATCTCTGAAAGGAGATCATAATCCTTCTGGTCCCATTTTAGAAGATGTGCTTGAAACTCTGGTTTATCAACTATCATCTAAAATTGAAATTTAAATAAATCCTGTACTTTACACAAATCAAATAGAATATTTCAAATTTTAAGAATTGATTTGAAAATTGTAATACACATTGTTGAAAAATAAAAATACTTTTGTCTTACGTTTTGCGTGTGTTAATTGCATGAATTTAGAGATAAAGTAGACGCATCCCACTTTTAATTTGAATGTATACGTCATTATAAGTTGTTTTTTATGTATATAAATCAAGACATGGTTCAATCTGAGATTACTATATGTAGTCCAAGTTTCAATGGTGCGAATCAAAATATGATGCTCGATTGGCAAGGTAGCGCAGGAAACGAGTCATGCAAGGGGTTTCATATTGTGACGAACGGTTGATCTGTATAACATCTATACCTGTAAACCTTACTCATACTCTACATATCGTATTGATTTGATTGTTTTATATTCTCATTCAAATCATAGTTTTTCCTTATTCGTATAACTTTTTTAAGGTAAAAAAATCATTATTATGTATCGGTTGGTTCAAAACATCAGTATGTTGTTCATAACTACGACGGGAGTCAGAAAGACATCGTCAGACTATTCTGTTCTCCAAAAAGACGTGTTACGAGATTTTCCAAAGTGCTTCGAAGAATGATATAGACGTAGAAATACATCAATAATTTGATTACTATTCGATAGACTGACATCACATGAATAATCTTATACAAACATTATTGAAAAATTAGTTTTTTGAACAACTGTCATACCTTTTGCAAATTGACAGCGCACATAGTTGACGTGGACTTCCTAAATTCCTTGACTTGTTTCATTTCTGCTTTATGCCGCTGAAAATACAATAAAATATAAAATCGTTTGCATCCTCAGATATAATGTAATATGCAGAGGTAACATGTTTTAGTTTGTTTTCTTCGCAGGAGCGCTTACATTTTTGATTAATTTTAATTGTTAGGAAAATATTTTTTTTATCTGGAATCGAGTTATAGAACTTGAAGGAATTTAATGTATTGTAAATACTTTATCAGTTTCATATGTAACTAGGTTATGGTTGCCTGAAACTTGAATAAAAGTTGTGGACGTTCTCAAGTCACTCAAATGTTGTCCTCCATTAGACCTCAAATAATAAGCAAAGGATGAGATACCATGAGAGTATCAAATTAAAAGAAAATATGAGGCAGCAGCCAAACAACGTTTTCCGTGAAGAGATAGATAAGTTTTTGCGATAGCACTAGTTTAGTTACCTGTGAGTTTTCTACATCAACAAACAAAGCAGACATCAGATCTTTTGTTTGATTGTCCGATATTTTTTGACAGGTCTTAAAGCAATTCTAAAAATAATACGTGTATATATGTATTTTTACACAAACATTGAAATGAGGTCTAACCATACAGTTACACAAGATAAATAAATAAAATAAAAAAACTAATAAATAAATAAAATAAATAAATAAACAAAATTCACTATCTGTCTAATTACTTGTAACAATTTATTATGTAGCCTGATAGATTTTACACTGTAACTATTTATTCAAAGTCGTCAGTTTGATGAGTTAAGGAAATTGTAAAGCTCTCTGTGTATTCTATCGACCATCGTTGAGTAACAGAACAGTCCGTGACATGAATTAAATGGTAAACTTAGCTCTAATCCGAAATTTGCAATGACAATAGAAGATCTTGAAGTCCTAGGCAAGTATGCTGGAACGACCTTTGCAGAGTATGATTTTTATAGTGAAAGTATTATGTCACTTGTCCAGTTTTGTTAAAGCTATCATTTTAAAAGTAGCTTAATATTTAACATGCTTACTATTTATGACTTGTAATCACAACAAACTCGAAGATATAAATATACGTGCAAAGGAAACATTATGTTATTTCTTTTAAAACTTTATCTAAGCTTTGTATTTCACCAGTCACGTAAGACAAATCTTAATAGAATACCTGGTTAACTAAAAATAAGTGTTTTATAACAATATGTGCCTGCCATCTCCCAGTTATTGACAACTGATCCAAGGTTTGCCTCCATTCTTCTTCGTATAGTTTACCAAACATTTCTATGATCTGTTTTGGCATAACTTGTTCATCATATTCTACATCACGTGAACGAGCACTGCCAATAGAGCTTAACGTTCGTCCAGCCATCTCAATGAATCTAGTAAATTATTTTAGGATAATAAAAGTAATGCAATTTGTTTTGTTTTGATTTTTTGTTTTCTTTTTTACAGCTACATGTACATGCAACTATGCCTTTCAAAGCTACATGTACATGCAACTATGCCTTTGTATAGCTTCATGTTCATGCAACTATGCCTTTGTATAGCTACATGTACATGCAACTATGCCTTTTTTAGCTACGTGTACATGCAACTATGCCTTTTTACAGCTACATGTACATACAACTATGCCTTCTTATAGCTACATGTAACGCTGTTAGTTGCAAACAGTTGCTACGTCATATGGTCTCTAGTGGATAGTTGTCTCATTTGCAATCATACCACATCTCCCTTTGTTATATTGGACTATTTTTATTATTGAGACACATTAAGCAATGTCTGCAATTTGTCTTTTAAGATATAAATGAGGTTTAATAATTAAGGTCCAATTTCTGTGTGTAGAAACCCTGTTAACCCGTAAAATCCAATATGCTTGCTTTGTATGTATCAAAAACGGTGAAACCCCATCACATTGTTTGCCTGTACGCTTTATCAATTCATGTTATCTGGACCATGTATTGTTCGTCCTTGTATTTCTGTGTTCATATATCCATATTTTTGTAGGAGTCGGGTGATAGTGTTTGATGTGGTCTGTCACAGTGCATTGTGTGGTATATTTGGCGATCATTCATGTTTTCCCTTTTTATGTAGTCTTTAATAAAACGTGCCATAAACAATTTCCTTGATACTAGCGCATTGTGTGAAAATAGAAAATAAATGCTCCAATGATACATATGAACATTGCAGCAAGTAGAAAACCAAACTTCGTTATAAAAGTAGTGTTATGAATAATTTTTATTTCGTGGGAAGATATGAAATATATATGAAATGTATTAACAATATATCTGGTATTCAAGAGAGGCGAAAAATACCAAAGGGACATTCAAACTCATAATTCGGAAATAAACTGACAATATGCTGGATCAGGGCTACTAACACTAACAAAAAACACCCACGTACTTTCATTTTTGTAAGCAGAGTGTACTGTTATATTTTGTACCTTTGTCGAATACTTTCCTTTTCTTCCATCGCCTGTTCAAACTGGAACATCAAACTCTTCTGTTCTACTATAGCAATAATGCTGAATATACAAATAAGATATATATATATATATATATATAAATATTGATCGAGAAAATAACGACATTGTTTGTGCAAGCACCTTAACTAAAAAGAAGTTATATTGTCACATTTTTTTCTTTAAAAATGGAGGTCATACTTGTCAAGTAGTTTATCGGTATTCCCTTCATTATTAGTTCCCTCGGTTTCATGGCGATAATACCACTCAACGTCAGTAACACACTGCATCAAATATTGACCATTTTATGGGAAAAAAAAAAAAAAAAAAAACAGACATGGTAATTAAGAGTGTGGCGTTTAATAATCTACATTCCTGTGAAACGACAAGCATATAAATTTCACTACAAAACTGATTATGTTACTCCGAACTCAAATATTTATATTTGGTCAAGCAACAGGATATCGAAGATATTTGTAGGTGGTCCCTCGTTATGGCCACTGTCGAAGTATATATTAAAATTGAAATGCATCTAGAAACAACATAATTTATTTTACATTTTATTTTTCGATTTTAATCTAAAGAATCGGTTTAGGAGAACATACTATTAAAGACAATGAAAAACTCGCTTTTACATGCATTGTTCACAAATATGCACCAATCATTCAGCAACATTTCAGAATATGAAAAAGATAAATGTAATATTTGTTCGTTTTTTAATTGAATATATTCATGCATAAGTTTTATGCCAAATCGTATACAAATCTGTGACGTCACCCATAATCTTGACATTTGAATTAAAGTATAATGATAATATATTATAATAATACTTTTTTTGCTTAAGGGATTTGATGACATTAGCAATTTCCCCAATAGTTTGATGAAATTTGTCCGTCTTGGCAAATATCTTCTGTTCAGCAACAATACTGCTAGATGCTAAAGTATTTTTGGAATATTCATGCAAAACATCCATTGTTTCTAACATCTCCGTCAAATTGTACTGAAGTCGTCTAGAAAATGACAGAGTAACCAAAAATTACAAAATGTATAACACGACAAGAACGGCCCTCACGAAATCAAAGATTTGTCTTGAAAACAAAATTAGACTAAAGGCTTAAAAAACTGCTGTAAAATTGATGGCATATACATGTAGTAGTTTTATTGTATTAATTATATTATTCTAAAGAAGTGTTGTTCACTCCATAGTGACTTGTCCAATGAGAATATGATTTTTTTTGTGGTATTCACAGTGTTTTTTTGGTATATATATTTACAAAAAAATGTATTGTTATGTATTTATTTATTTCTATATTTTTTGTACATTTATTTGAAAAGATTGTTTTAAATTCTATGTTTACAAACATGCATATCAGCTCATCAACAATTAAAAATTAGCTGACTATGCGGTATGGGTTTTACTCATTGTTGAAGGCCGTATGGTGACCTATAGTTGTTAATTTCTGTGTCATTTGGTCTCTTGTGGAGAGCTGGCGCATTGGCAATCATACTACATCTTCTTATTTTTATATTCATAATGGATTGTGATATATTTAGATTGATTGATTGATTGTTGGTTGCTCAACGTTCATATTTCTGTTAGAGAGACTTGTCCAGTTGTATAATCTAAATACTTGCTGAATTTCTCGTTTCTTTTCTTCAATCTCGTCTTGTAATCTTCTGACATACTTCTTACTGGTACGTGGTTCTTCTCGTTGTGGATGCTTGGTAAATAGCTTATGGATTCTAGTTGTTCCGGATGTTGAAACATTCACGGAAGCACTTACTGTTCTTATGATATATTATGGAAAAAATTATTCGGCATTATAACACATATAATATTACAAATCATTCACCATATTACAAACTATGAAAATAAACAGTACTGTATATTAATTGTTTATAAATGATTATAAAAAGCTTTTCCAGCTAATTGATGTAAAATCAAATCCCGGTAAATTCCACAACGAAGACGAACAGTGATATCAAAACCACAAAACACAATACTGAAACAAACAAATTATGCAGAATATTTTTATATTTGAAAAAATAAATATAAATAAAAATCTCTACTTTGGATTGATGGGCATTTCCAAATGGGTCAGGGTAACACTGCTGTGAAAAAATGGCATTGTTTATCTCTTATTGGAAGTGAAATATCATATTGATGTTTATCTCTTATTTCGACATGTATAATGTGAAATGCTACGTTATTCCTCTCTTTTGTATATGTATTGAGAAAAACACAGTGCATAAATATTTCGAGAACTTTGACTAATAAACAAACGAAACACTTGCCGTTAAATTTGAAGTCTTACCCTGGTGATGGTTCACGACTAGCAACACCTGACACCGCATATACTCCAGTACTGAAAGAAAGTTAAATTTTAATAGAGAAATAAGGTAAATCTAAAAAAAAAAAAAAAAACGGAGAGCGAGAGACTACGTAAGAAGTTGATATTTCAATACTTGATTTTATCATTATACGACACAACAGTGGTGCTCATGTTATATGTCTATAGACTTTAAGATTGGCGGAAACTCTATAAAGCAGAAGCTATAATATATAGAGACAGTAAGAAAGGGGTATAGAGCGTTAGTACGAAGTTTTTGAGAGAGAGAGAGAGAGAGAGAGAGAGAGAGAGAGAGAGAGAGAGAAATCGTGTAGTCACTGGGTGAAAATAGTGTATTGCATCATTAATAATAAGTATACGTTATGTATTTGTATAATGTTTAATTCACCACTGTATATATTCGTTTAATAAAGTATCTAGATAAAACTTATTTGAATTGTTTGTAATACAGCAAACAATTTTTTAAACCTTTTCCAAAATTATTTTTGATGTATACGGCAGGATATAAACACTGAAAATCGTTATTAGCCTTTTGTTATAAAATGTAGATATAATTTACATTAAGTTTCTAACTAATAGTCATTTCAATGACTGCAGTTTATAGGACTGCAAGTTAACGAATTCAAATTAATATTTATTTTTTAAACAATGCATTCATATTTTCAACTTTTTTTGTCTGTTTTGTTTTAATAAACTAAACCATGTAGCCGCCAGCGGCCCATGAAATCGTAATTCGAACATAAGCGACATTTTGTTTACATTGTTACATGTCATATGTATAACACGGAACATTAACCTTTTTCACACTGCAGTTTTAAATTACTTTATTCAAAGTTCAGTCTTCAAGCTTGATCAATATGCTTGAAGTAAGTTGTTATTTAACCTGGTTTACTTAAAGACTCCTAACATTTTATGAATTAACGGTAATTTCAGTTCACACATTTTCAACTAAAAAATACTTACACAGAGCTTAGGAATTCCAGTAAACCTGCGATATCTTTTTCAACAAAATCTTCATAATGTAATATCCTATCATGAGGGAGAAAGTTTGTCTCAATAGCTTCAGGAAAATTCATGTTTTCATGATCATGAACATAATCACTGAACCCCAGTAAAAATGGAACCGAATTCATCTCATGAGCGACTGGACCCAACCTGTCCCGATTTTTGTCCCATGCCTTGATGCAGTTTTCCAAATCTGCGATATATTCAGTGACAATTTTCTTTTCTTCCCTCTGTTTTTCCTGGACAACATCAATTAGCGTGGTTTCAAGTTTCTTAATCAAATCTTTCACATCTTGTATTTGTTTCTTGTTTTCTGTTTCAGATATAATATCATGTAAATCGATGACAAGCTTTACGGCGGTTTCAATGTCATGATTAAGGTTAGTCAATAAACTCCTAACTATGGCTGCACATTTAGTCCAAGCAGTTGGAATGGATTCTATGTCGTGATCAGCATGTTTATTAGAACAGCAGTCTTGGCAAATGACAGCTCCACATGTTCCACAAAATCTAGTGTACTCGCTCTTATGCTCATCACATACGTGTTTGGTAATACAGGGATCTTTCCTGCTCTTAACTTTATACGAGTTCGCCTGTTTTTCTGCGTCTGCAATTAACCCAGCATCGTCTTTACACGCATGTCCATGATTGCAAGCGTTACAGAGATGTCGTGTACATTTACTACAATAAGTGTCGTATCTCAAAGTAAAACATAAATCACATTGCTCTGGGTGAATGGAATCCATTTTATGTTAGATAATGACTCGTCATTTAAATGTTATTATACTAAATTTGAACACCGAAAAGTGTACCATACAACGCTGAATCTCTGAAATGAATGCGTCACATTCCATTAATTTGATTTTGTTTAAATGAAAAATTTCCTTTTTCTTTTCAGTTATCTTTTTTGTTTTGTTCTTTTATAAATAGGTGTCTCATAACCATCCTAAGTGTACATATTGTTGCTAGCCATTAATACATATCATGACCAGTGCATTAACTATGTTGTTTCGTATAGACATTGTATCTTGTTAAGTACGATGCAGCAGTATTGAATTCATAGGATTCCACAACAGCTTCTTCCAAGAAGAATCGAATCAAGACGGAAAAAGTTGATGACGAAGGTCAATTTACAAATATTTGGGAAGTTGATGAGATCTCCAGTTGTTCATACAAAGCAAACATTATATTAGAATTAACATACAAGAGGCTGTCAGAGAGACAGCAAACCGGATTTTCCTGCAGAGGTCGAACCCTGAACAGTTGAGCAAGTATGGACACTACATTTAAACTTAAAACAGCTCTGAATTTGGATTGTGATTGAATATTTGACACATCATAGGTTTGTGACACAAAATGAATGTAGTTAAAGAACAGATATATTTGAAATTGGACATTTAAATACCTATTATGGTCCAATATCCAAAATCTAAGAACATATTAGAATCAGCATATCAAAGAACCCCAAGAATTCAATTTTTGATGAAATCAGACAAAAGTTTAATCTAGGACCCTTTGGACCTCAATGTGGACCAATTTGATAAAGGAGCCCACAATCCAAAATCTCTCTGATTTGGACCAACTTGAAAACTGGGCCTAAAAATCTAATATTTAAATAGAGTTTAGATTCAGCATTTGAAAGAACCCTATATATATATTTAATTTATGTTGAAGTGAAACACAGGTTAATTTTATCCATAATATTTTCTGTGCAAATGGAAATAACTCAAACTGGATAAATAGTTCTCTAAAATAAGATATGATGCAATTTTTCAAATTATAATCAATAATATAATAGCAACAACCAGTGATGACTAAGTTCTCTAAAATTAGATATGATTTTTTTGGGGCCCAAAAATCAAAATACATGGTTAGATTCAGCATATCAAAGAACCCCATATATTCAATTTTTGTTGAAATCAAACAAAGTTTAATTTTGGACCCCAACTTGGACCAACTTGAAAACTGGGCCCATAATCAAAAATCTAAACACATGTTTAGATTCAGCATATCAAAGAACCCCAAGAATTCAATTTTTGTTAAAATCAAAGTTTCAAACTAAGTTTAATTTTGGACCCTTTGGACCTTAATGTAGACCAATTTAAAAAACGGGACTTAAAATTAAAAATCTAAATACACGGTTAGGTTTGGAATATCAAAGAACCCCAATAATTTAATTTTTGATGAAATAAAACAAAGTTTAATTTTGGACCATTTTGACCTCAATATGAACCAATTTGATAGCGGGGCCCACAAATAAAAAATCTAAATACATGGTTAGATTCAGCATATCAAAGAACCCCATATATCCAATTTTTGTTGAAATCAAACAAAGTTTAATTTTGGACCCCAATTTGGACTAACTTGAAAACTGGGCCCTAAATCAAAAATCTAAATACATGTTTAGATTCAGCATATCAAAGAACCCCATATATTCATTTTTTGTTAAAATCAAACTAAGTTTAATTTTGGACCCTTTGGACCTTAATGTAGACCAATTTGAAAACTGGGCCCAAAATTAACAAGTCAAAATCGTGATTATTGAACTTGACCTCCATTTTGTTGTCAGTAACAACATATTAAAATTTAAAAAGGTTTGGTTGAACAGTTCATGAGTAAATGCACGGACACGACATTTTTTAAACTTTCAAGAACCGTAACTCCTGAACGGTAAAAGTCAAAATCGTCATTATTTAACTTGACCTCCATTTTGTTGTCAGTAACAACATATTAAAATTTAAAAAGGTTTGGTTGAACAGTTCATGAGTAAATGCACGGACACGACATTTTTTAAACTTTCAAGAACCGTAACTCCTGAACGGTAAAAGTCAAAATCGTCATTATTGAACTTGACCGCCATTTTGTTGTCAGTAACAACATATTAAAATTTAAAAAGGTTTGGTTGAACGGTTCATGAGTAAATGCACGGACACGACATTTTTTAAACTTTCAAGAACCGTAACTCCTGAACGGTAAAAGTCAAAATCGTCATTATTAAACTTGACCTCCATTTTGTTGTCAGTAACAACATATTAAAATTTTAAAAGGTTTGGTTGAATGGTTCATGAGTAAATGCACGGACACCATTTGGTTGCCGCCCGCCCGCCCGCCCGTCCGACCGACCGACCGACCGCCGTACATCACCAAATCAATAACCGACATTTTTGACACAAAAATCCGGTTAAAAATTCTCATCACGGCTCTCCATACAGCGAACTAGAAATGTATTATTCCCAAAAGAAGGGGAGTAATCTGTTATAAAACTATGATTTCACAATGTTCTTTTCTTAAAAAGCCTGCCCTAAGTCTTTATACTCGGCTACATTTTAAGTGACGATACTGTTTTGAGATTTTTTTAACTATACAGTAAAAAATAGAAAATCCCAAGAACATTAACACACGTCCCAATGGGGGACGAATAAAATGACAATAAAACTAACACATACTTATTACTTAAAGTTGTTAATTTCTAGGTCATTTGGTCTCTTGTGAAGAGTTGTATGATTGGCAATCATACCACATCTTCTTTTTTATATTATGAAACTAAAATAAAAAAAACTTGGAAATTCTTAAAAAGCAACACATACACCTCATGCCCATGAATACTTTCTACTTAAGGTAGATAGGGGTCTAAATAAAAAAAAAAATTGTCAAAATGTACTTTATATCATGCTTTTTTCAAAAATATAATAAAAGTATGGGACACCGGGCTTATTTTCACGCTACAGGTTGTGCAAAATTGTCAGATTTTGTATAGATTATGCATGGAAAACACAATTTTGTGCGATAACACGAAAACTACACCATAGAATTTCAAGATAAAATATGAGAAGATAGCTCTAATAATATGATTTCAGATAAGAAAAATAAATGGGGTCACCATAACAAAATAGGTAAATTCACAACACATTCTATTGTAAAAGTTACTTTATCTAAGTTATCTTCCCTTATATCTGAGTTGTCTCCCCTTATGTGGCAAAGTTGAAAAAAAAAATCAAACAGAAACATTCTGTTTTTTGTAAAATACATCCGTAAATATGATAAAACACATAATTTTCTATATTAACATGATAAGTCTTGCACATTAATTGCATACTACTCTCGAAATTTGCACATTTTATTAAAGATCTAAACAGATTGTTATCTGCTATTTCAAAATCAAAGATGGAGGAAGACACTCCAGCCACCTTAATAAAGACAACACTTAGCAATTACAGCTTGAACTGTTACAATATTTTTAGAAAAACCATATAATTTTCTTTTTAATTTACTTGGAAATAACCACACAAAGGACTAGAAATACTGTGAACAGAGCTAACACATCCCTACGTCAACAATTCTATGCTATCTGAAACCCTACTTACTAATAAAAAGATAAAGGTAGACATTTAACAACCGCAATGTAAAAGTAATATTCTGTAGGATTTTTCATTGAAATCCCGTGGATGAATACAATAAGCATATTCCAAGAGTCTGATTTTTGCTATAAACCAAAATTGCGTGCATTCACAGACACCGTGGTCATTGTATAATTTGCTTCTTTTAATTGTCTAAAGAAAAACAAAGGAAGATTTGCAAAAAGAGAGAATATTAAAAAAAAAAACAATTCAAAGCACTAATTCCAAAAAAAAACAAACAGATACACTATATGAAAAAGACGAAAAGACAATTCACAATTCACAAAATAATACACAGAAAACATCAGATTGAGAATCACGAACCCTATCGAAAACTAGAGTGCTCCGGATAGGAAAGCACATCCTGCACCACAATTGTCACCAGTCGTGTTGCTTAAGGTAAGAACAAATCTGGAGAGTATTCACAAATCATCAGAATTTAAGGATGTAGTTAGGTGAAATTAAAAAAATCTAGAATTTAAAATTGATACTATAAGTCAGATGAGCGTCAGTGAATGGACAAAATAAGCTAAAAATATTGATAGGTTATGGAACTCCTTTTTACGATATTTGATTTTTTAATAAATGGCGGGAAAAGGCTGACTCGGAGTTTAACCTTACATTTAGCCATGCCATTATTGAGGTCTCAAATCGTAAGAAAAGAAATTTTGAATCTGCTAAAATTTTGGATTTGACTTTTTATGAGCTATTGAAGTCTTCTATGAAAAGAAATGTTGGTGATATGGGGCAAAACATTTTACCCTGTGTCAAAGGGGAAAAAAACCAAGAAGTCCGAACATCTGAAAAAAGTTCATAAACCTGACATAAGTACATCCTTAACAAGAGATTGATGTAGTTATTCTGGAATACAAACGTAGTAATAAAACATATATCGGAGTCAATCTATGTATCTATGAATTATCTAACAAAAGACGCAACACATTGAGAATATTTCTTTATTTAAATCAAGCGTAAGAAATAAACTTAAAAAAAGCAAATAAAACAAACAAGTGGATGTATTATAGAATGCAATATAAAATATAGTTTCACAAAGATGTGTCTCGCCTGATTCACAAATATTTTAGATTAGCAATCTTATTGACATTGTCAATAGGCAATTATATAATTGTGCATCTTAAAAGGAAAATATATACAACGTTAGTGTACTGTTTGGGTTTGAAATAATTTTAATACGATATAAAAGATATATGAGGTAAATTAGAGGTATAAACAAATTTTTGTTTTGTAGAAAATATTCTACCTAGAGACATGTATATTGTGATAGAAGCTGAATAACATTATCACCATTTTCTAGTTCGAGCCTTTCTAATGAAAAAAATCTAAAAGAAAAAGCCCTGCGGATGCACCAAATTTATAAATTGTTATTTTTATCTTTTGAAACAAAAACCAAAATTTGAACAATGTTATTATATCTGAATCAATGTAACACGAGTGACCTCACAAACTCCACTTTTAAAACAATTTATGGATGTTACATGTTATACATGTACAGGAAAATACAGAATATTAAAATATGATAGTTGAAACTAACAAAACAAATTCATCACTGTATCGTTTATGTACTAAGTCAGGAATATGACAGTTGTTAACCATTCGTTTGATGTGTTTGAGCTTTTGAGTTTGCCATTTGAATTTTCCTCGGCGTTTGGTATTTTTGTGATTTTACTTTTTATGTAGAATGTACATTTAAACTGTAGCAGTTTAATCGTTAAAACTTTACAACTGCGTCCACTGTTAACTAAAGTTTATTGCAGCCTTACAATCTAACAATTTTCGATGTTAAATACTTATTGGTACAAAATTACAGTTTTTACCTACTTGATATATTACATCGTTTAAATTTAAGACTAGCATGCATATAGCAACTAACTTAGGTGGGGAAATAATTTGCATCATCTTTTAAAATATAAATAAGAAGGTGAGGTAAAAGTGCCAATGAGACAACTCTCCATCCAAGTCACACTGTGTAAAAAGTAAACAATTATAGTCAAAGTACTGCCTTCAACACGGAGCCTTGGCTCTCACCAAACAGCAAGTATTGAAAAAGATACACGAAAGGATAAAAGATTGATCTGATAAAAGCATTTACTTGCATCTCTGCACCTGCGTATTGAAGACGTGTTTTGAGTGTTCTGATTTGTCCTTAAAACCTATAAACATCAAGAAATTTAATATCATCGCGATCCATATTCTATTGATTTGATATTTGAAAATTCTTTATAATTTCATAACTTTGCATTATATATATAAACTTTATTTTCTTCGAAGATTTCGCAAGTAAACAAGTTCATACAATAATAAAATAATTACATATTGAACAAAACAGTGGAGGGATTGAATCAGTAAAGAGTCAAATTTAAATGTGAGTGTTTGAATCAGTTGAATGTCACATCTAAATAAATGATAATATTGCTGAAGGAATTAAATTAACTGTTATAGAACACACTGCACATTCGCAGAACATGTGTAATGCAAGCCTTTGAGAATTAAATACTGTTATCAAAATCCAGATCATTGTCCACAACTTTGCTAGAATCCGTAGTTCCTTTCATTGCTATGATATTTTATCAAAATAAAATGAAAGCATATTACGTTAATTTTGTATAATCTCATTCATAAAAATATACCATTGATAGAGAAGACAAGCGTATCGTTTAATCATTTTTTTCAGTGTTATCTTTTATAAGTTATTTGTCACACATTTCTAGAAAGTGTAAGTCTGGTTTTTCAAATAATATTTTAGTGTTTCATCTACTAGTTATTTTCGAACAAAAACACCCTGACAATACAGTAGACATAATATCAAGTATAAAGAAATAAAATATGTAAAACTTTCATACGGAACACAGGGAATTTGTCCTTAAAATCCCCCCAATATAGATCAAAACGATTTGCAAGAACTCTTATGACTGCGCGCAATACTAAAGGGGCTACTGTAAAAAAAACAACGATTTGAGGTATACATAAAAGATACAACAACCCGACGAAACAAATATCAAATAAACATATAAAAACAAACTTGGGAATAAAAATGACCTGCCATCATCACTGTCGAAACGACTATAATTTTATCCTAACTAATCAATACTCTCAACGCCATGGAAATTGATTGTAAAGTGTCCAGGTTCAGCAACCCTCGTTAACATTATCAAATAGAATTCACCTATATAAAGTCAAATTTACAAAGCAACTTAACTTAAGTTCATGGATCTGCATGAAAATGAAGCTTATCCAGCAACAAAATAAATGATATCGAGCTAACTACGACTTTTTTTTACTAGAATAACCACACAAAAATATGGTTTTAGATTTAAGCCAATTTTTTAAATGACCACTTTTATTACCTCCTTTAAAAACCAATCACATCTCCATAAGTTTAGAAGCAATCAGCTAGTCTTATACTATATACCTTTATGCATAACATATCTTTAAAATTATATTCTCTAGGGTAGTTCCGTCTGAGTTTGATTTCTATTACCCCAGAGGCTTTATACAGGTATTTTTGTTAATGGTAAAACTGAGGACGGACATTGGTGCCAGGTGATAGCAAAAGCTCTGACTAGCCAGATCAGCTAAAACAAATAAAGCTTATGTTTCACATACAATATAACATCATAACAAACAATATATTTTACACTACTTTTAAAATAACAACTTAAGGATTATGTACATATATCACAGAATAGTTTTACCAGCACCAAAAATTTAAATAAAAAAATCAGTAAATAATTCTTTAAAGATACAAGCTAGGTAATAAGTGGATAATGTGTCCATGGAACACTGATGATGCCCCCGCTTGCATATAACCTTATGAAGGGACATGACTTAAATTAGAACTAGATCTGAGTTTTGTGGTAATAAGCATTTTGTGTAAGTTTCATAATATTTGGTTGAGGCAAACTTAAATTTGAGAAAAATCAGCATTGTTTTTAATTGTGAAAGGGCATAGTTCTAGAACAGTAAACATGACGCCACCTAAATTCAAACTTGATCTGTGTTTAGTGGTAATAAGAATTGTGCATATTAAGTTTCATAACATTTGGTTGAGGCAAACTAATTTTAGGAAACGGAAACCAATTTTGGGACGTTCGGACGTACAGACATACGAACGGATGTACAGACGGACCAGTGTAACACTTAATGCCCCTTCCGCTGCGACGGGGACACAAAAAAACACTAAAAAAGCCAGTGCTCCTTATCTTTATCACATTACTAAGCTTGCAATTTAGAAAAAAAGATGATTCTGTACTATACTTTAATTTTATCTCTAGTTTATGGTATACTACCGTGGCGTTATAAATTATAACTTATAATTAATGTATTAGAATATTGGAATTTAATCAGTGTTCTTCTGTGTATTTTTTAATTTTATTTTGCAAGTTTAACATCCTATTGAAAATATTAATAAATAAGATTAACTTGTTTTATTGTAAACAAAAACACAACATTTTTTTTCTGTTTAGAACAAATAAGAATTCAAATGGAACTCATTCCAGTCTACTTGCAAATTTTCTTTTCGTACTCTGCGGCGCTTCCGCCATGATTGTTTTGAGTGACGTCACAGATTTTTAATATTGACCGTCAATATACGTATAAATAGAAACATAGCGTCAATATACTTAAAAATATGAACAAGGCTTCAGATACATGAAATATTATTTGAAACACGTGATCGTAATATCCAATGAAAACAGGAGAATGCTACACCATATGTAATATAAAGTTATATATGTTACTGATTCAAACGAATCCCATCAGACACAAGACGTAACTTGCAACCGAGGAAAGTATATGTAATTTCCGGACAAGAGTATAGATCACCATATATATATATATTGTATAACCATTAAACTAGCTACTTTTGCTGCAGGTATATTTTGCATTTGTTTCAAACAAAGCGTATAAGATAAGTTAAAATCACAAAGCTTAACAAACAAGTCCCACTGCAACTAAACCGTGAATGTCTATATCAGATTTAATCAATCTCAGTCACAAGCCTGTGCTACACCTTTTATCATCAATGGCCCATTTTTGTGAAGATACAAGGCAGGCCAAATACTACAAAGAAACAATGGTCCACTTTTTGTGTATTCTCTGTAATGATCCTTATCAAACTTAGTTCTGTGCTCAACATCGCCGTCCAGGTACATTTCAGGATCTTGAACAGCCATCAACCACGAGAGTGAAATAGACTTTTCAAAAAACTTCTGCTTGGTAATTTGGTACACAATCTCTTCGTCTAACCATCCGTGAGAATGTAAGTATTCAACGAATGTATGATTTTTGTGGAAGTCCTTAAATAAAAAAAGATGTGTTAACAACTATTCCTAAATTTTTATTTCCTCACTTTAGATTAAAACACAGATATTAAAATAAAATAAAATAATACATTATAGAAAGAATCAAATCATGGACATTTTACTTTTTACTTTTTAAAATTCCTAAAACACAACAAATTTTAGACACTTATTATGTAAGAATTATCTAATATTTATTAAATTATTATTGCTTTATAAGTTAATATACCTTATTTATCACATTTGCTACATTGATAGCTATTGCCTTCCGTGCATCAATCAATTGTTTTATCTCTGTAGTATGTTGTTTAACGAATTGTGTTACCTGAAACAATTAAATAAAACAGACTCATCTACGCTTATTTTGAATTTTGGTAATAGGTAAAAGTTTGATATCAACTGACAAGTAGAATGTTCGACAGATTAACATTGGAATGCCTAAAATGCCTTACCATACACCCCCTTCGTTAGATTTTTTTTTTTGTGAAAGGTGAAAGGAAAAATTCTCCGGGTTTGTAGATTTAATTTCCATCGGTTCATTGGAATGTAATTTATACAGATATAACACAAAGTGAAGGATTAAAAGCTACATAATTATAGTTGGTGTTGGAGTCAATAAGTCAAAGGTCAAGGTAACTGCCAATAATTTTTTTTTTAAAATATCAAAATAAGGAGATGTGGTATGATTGCCAATGAGACAACTAAACACCAGTGTTCAAATGACATGGTTATTAGCAATTATTATAAGCGTTTATAGGTTTATATTGTCACTGAGTCTAGTGCATATATATATTTATATATATAAAGGAGATGCGGTATGTTGGCAGTGATCCTACATGTACTTTCCACCGGAACAAAAACGAGGAAGATAACAGAAATTATAGGTCACAGTACAGCCTTCAACTATGAGAAATACTTATACCGTACAGTCAGGTATAAACGGCCCAGACATGAAAAACCTGAAATAGTTCAAACGAGAAAAGTAACGTCCTAATTTAAAGCAATACACTGAACGCAACACAAATATGACAGACATGAACCAACGACAACCACTAAACCAAGGATTTCTGACTTGGGACAGTCACATAAAGAATTTGGCGGATTTTGTTTATTAACCCCTCAATTCATACTCGTATTTTATCTACTAGCTCTGCTTTGTTACAATCCTATATAAAACAAGACCAATACATGGTCAGAACATGCGTTGCTGCATGTAAGTGATTGAGGTAACAAGTGTACTGAAGGGTTATAACTGATGTAGAAGATTTTTAAACATACTATTATGTTCAACTGGACTTGAATAAAGTAATTTCATTGATGTTATGTTGATGGATGAAAACGTTTGATTATAACAATTTATTCAGCATAACAATTATTATATTTTTGAAAAGATTTGAACAACCTAAATATGATGCAGCAACTCGGTTTGTTCATCTAAAGAATTAATTACTCCTCTTTAAAGATTATAATTACATAATGAAATATGTTATACTTCATAGTATTAAAAACAAGAAAACATTGACAATTTCAAACTATTTGCAATTATGAAGCGGGTGCATGGCAGATGTCAAAGTTGCTTACAAGCTACAACTCAACATTATCAATATGCAGACAAAATATCATAAAACCATTCGCATTCATAAAATCTACGAAAAATTTGACGAAAATTTTCTATTCAAGGTCTTTCGGACAAACGGACGGACGGACGGATATGATGGATGAAGTAGAGCATTGAATAGACTTGCTTTCGGCATTTGCGACACAGGTTATAAGGAGATCTTGAATGATTTCCAACGACGTAACTATCAAAAAGACTCCAACTGATGTCAATGTGTGCATTTACATTGTACAAATGTATTGGTCACAGTGTTGGCAAAGTACTACCCGCTCTGGAAAACCCACTTCAGGTCCGGGTTTTCCCACCCTGGACAATACTCCCAGAAACTAATACTGGGCAATATGATTTTTTAAGCTTATTTCAACACAAAATAGTAAAGACTTGTACTTTCATAGTATTAATTATAGCTAAATATATACATTTTATACAGATAACCATTGAGAGTCACAATTAGTGATGTACATATAAATTATTTAAAAGTATTTTTTTTTACATATAATTGTTAATTCTTTATATTAGTTATATATATTTGAAAAAAATGAATTATTTTGCTTTATGTTAACAGTTTGACCAATCTAGATAGAAGGGTGATTTAATAGATTTTTAGGAGAATTATTGAGAAAGGCTTTTTCCATTAATATTTGTCTAATGTGTCTTCATGTACACTTGTCTCAGAGTTGCTAGAATAATACTTTCTCAAATGTATACACTTGTATTATAAGACTCAAACAATTAAACTTATTAATAAACCAAAATATGTTTATAAATATCTTAAATGTATTGCATTTGTGTTTGATCACTGAATCCTCTTTAAAATTCAGGCCAGTATTTTATATTACCCAGTATTGCCCAGTATTACCCGGTAAAACCCAGTAAAATCCGGGGTTTCCCAGTATTGCCCACTGGGCTGGGCAATACTCATAAAACCCGGGTTTTTGCCATCCCTGATTGATCACCGCATGGGCTTCAACATTGAGAAAACAATTCCATACATTCGGTTATAAAAGGCATCGAAATTTAAACAATGTGGAAGAATTCAAACAACAACACCAAAAGCCAGACTAATGAAAAAACAATAAGCGAAAAACATAGTTCTTCTGGCTAACTTTTATGTTATAAATCTGACAAAGAGTAGGCATTAAGGAAAAAAATCATTTCTGGAGAACAATTTCCAATTTGCATATTGTGTTTGTAAATGCATAAGGTAAAACAATACAAATGAACTACACAAGATTTTTTTTATACATCATTGCACCTTTTTCATGAAAACTGATGAATTTAAGGAATTCCCCATCGATATTTCCTTTGAGGAAACATCGCGCGTAGCCAAGAAAAAACAAAATAATATTCAACAAACTTTATCAAACCTATTTACACAATCTCATCAAATATATTTAGTTGTTTCTTGGTTGCGCATGTACGTTAATAATCCAAACTATACTTATGTTGATGAAAAACTTGGAAAATCAAGAAATTTGACAAAATATACAGATTTTTTCATGGATTGTTGCCATTATGGCAAATGTGAATGTGAAATTTGTGCTTATTTATAAACACCGTTTACTTTTGTATTTAATTTGCACTAATACAGGCTTTATTGTCCCTACTCCTTTCTGTAATGACATTGACTACGAATAACCATATAATATCGACTATGCAGGAATATGATAGTTATTGACCGACATCAACTGAAGATAACGAAATAAGATACAAATGTACACTTTTTGTTTTTCCGTTGGAAACACATTCGGCTAGAAACAGACATTGGAAAAACAGGAAAGACAAGTAAAACTGTGAGCTACTGCTCACTGATGATACCCTCGCCGAAATATTTCGGTAAACAGGAAGTTGTTGAGTGATGAATCTGAAAACGCATCACACGGTATAGCTGAATCATATAAACCCTAAAACCAAATTTCAGAAATCCTTGTCAAGTAGTTGCTGAGAAAAATGTGACGAAAATTTTCAACTTGGCTATCATGTGTAAAATAATACAAGTGTTCGGTAAACAGGAAGTTGCTGAGTGATGAATCTGAAAACACATCACACGGTGTAACTTACTTATATAAACCCTGAAACCAAATTTCAGAAATCCTTGTCAAGTAGTTCCTGAGAAAAATGCGACGAAAATATTCATGGGACGGACGGACTGACGGATGGACTGACGGAAGGACAGACAGAGGTAAAACAGTATACCCCCACTTCGTTAAAGCGGGGGTATAATAAAGTTACACCGCAGTTAACGACTAAGAAGTAAATATCAAAATGATGAAACAAATAGTTGTTCACTCATATTATTTAAAGGAGAGGCGCAAGATACAAAAGGGACATTCAAACTTATCAAAGTCAAATATAAATTGACAACGTCGTGGTCAAAAAAAGAGAAATAGACCATGAGACGAACAACTGTACACAAAACACAACCCAGAAAACTGAAGACTGAGCAACACGAACCTAACCAAACATCGGGGGTGATCTCAGGTGCTCCGGAAGGGTAAGCAGATCCTGCTCCACATGTCGTGTTGCTCGTGTAAGTGCAAACCCGGTGACACGTCTAATTCGGTTAGTCACATTCGTGGGAAAGGGGAGAGGATTGTGGTTACGATAATTGATATCCGTCGTCATCTGTGAAGCAGATATTCCATTAGGGTCAACCAACTTGTGATGACGTCCGTAAAATTTACGACGGGATGATTTCAACTTCACCAATTGAAATTGAAATAAAAGAACTTAGTCTGACATTTTGTGATCGTTTTTTGTGTTTTCTTTAGTTTATCAGAAATATTTAGGTGCTTGTAAACATTTGTATCGATCTCTCATAGCTCCATACATAATACATGGACCGTCTTTAAATCCAAATACTCTATGTTAGTGTGATTTTAGCTTTTACTAGATATACTTACATCCGCAGATGATCTATCCAAAAACAACTTTCGAACCAAGTCCTGCATTTGTTGACTTGATAGCTGACAGCATGCTTTATAACAACCCTAAGAAGTTTTGAAAGTTAAGAAAATACATATCGGTAATTATTGTAACTAAATGGTCTCATAGAAATTGTAATAAAATTGAATATGACTAAAAATAGGACCGAAAATAATTTATCCCAAAATATTATGCAATGAACTGAAATATCATATATGTACAACATTGATTTGTTTCAAAGTCAAGGGACTGCACATTTTTTTACTCTTTTCTTCCAATGACAATTGTATTTTGATTGATGATTGATTGAATGATTGGTTTTAACGCCACTTTCAGCACTGTTGTGCTATTTCGTGGCGGTCGGTTTTTATTGTTGGAGAGAAAAGTTGTATCACTGTCATTTAAATTTCAAAAACGATGTCTTTAAAGTCAACTTTTTGAACAAGTAAAACTCATACAATATGATGCCTATTTTTTTTAAACACTACCTGCAGTATTATGAATAAATGGCGAACTATCATGTCCTCAGACCATTTTTTGCTGACAAGTACGTCTACTGCTTCTGTCCATTCATTGTCATAAAGCTCAGAATATAATTCTGCTATTCTAGTCGGTCTATATTTATCGCCCAAGTCTGCGATGCTGGTATTACCTGCCATAAGTTTTGCTCCAGCTACCTGGCTTAACCTGAATGCAAAATTCACATCAAAGTAAACCAAACCAACGACCACCAACTATGTTACTAACGAATTACAATTCTATTTTAAATCTCCCGCTTCTTTTTCTAATTCAAACTACCACTACATTGTTTTATGTACGATATTTCTCTAATAATTACAATACAATTTTCAAATGTTAACAATGAGGAAAAACCGAGCATTTAAAATGGATAATATTTAGTCGTCAAGAGTGCAGAAATACACAAGAAAAAAATGTATAATAATTAAAGTCTTTAATGATTATAGACGATAATTAAATTTATATTAATTATTTTTTTATATTCTTTTTCGATGATATGTGAAAACTTATTCTTCATTGTTGCTTTTATTAATGACGTCAATTGAAAATATCTCCGATGAACTAAACAAAGAAGTTGAAATTAGATATAAAATAGCGAACGTTCGTATAGCAGACAATGACGACACTTATAAATCGAACACAATAATATTCATCAAAACGATGATAAAATTGAGTCCTATATATTCCATTTGGTATTGTATTTGCTACAACACGTATTACTATAATTAACAACTACATCCTTGTATCATAAGGGGCGAATTGTAAGAACAGCTCAATAAACAAAAAGCTTATTAAAACAAATTAGATGGTACAAAAATGTAGTTTGTAAACACTTTCAGCTGTTTATGAAATTATTTAAATTGATGGATTGTTTTATTGCTTTTGTAAGCTAGGCTGCAAATCCTATATGTAAATAAGAAGATGTAATATGAGTGCCAATGAGACAACTCTCCATCCAAGTCACAATGTATAAAAAAGTTAACAATTAAAGGTCAAAGTCTGGCCTTCAACACGGAGCCTTGGCTCACACCGAACAGCAAGCTATAAAGGGCCCCAAAATGACTAGTGTAAAACAATTCAAACAGGGAAACCAACGTTCTAATCTATTTAAAAAACGAGAAACGAGACACACCTATGAACCACACCAACAAATGACAACCATTGAACAACAATGACCTATACAATGACCTATACAATGACCTATCTGACATATTTAGCTATAAATGGGATTTTTAACCACCAGATCAGCAATACGTTAAGATAATTCATAGATGTATAAAACCTGAGACAAAGATTCAACGCATTTCACCCTGTAGTTTCGACTTTCGAAAATTTGTCATTCTTAATGCCATTTGCATGTTTTGTGTCGATCATTTCCAGTCAATTAAAATGTACTGGTTAATTTTGATTAAGGACTTTCAATATTGTGTCCTGCAGTTTGTAATTATCCTTGTAGCTTTAAAGGTATTATTGAAAAATGATGTGGATTGTCTTTCAACGCCAGACGGACGTAAAATGATGAAAACAGCTCATCTAGTCTTATTGGCACTACGGGCTAAAAGCAAGTTACATGTAGTATGTTCTGGCTTGAGTGACGGCCATATGAATTGTTATTTGGAGAAGGAACATTATACGAAAGAGCACAGATAGCTGCACATTTATACGACCCTCATTGCCAAACAGTCTCCTCCTTAGTATGGGTCCTTCTGTAGTATAAGAGTACCTCAGTAAATCATATCTACATATCTAACCACCCTTTTCGGTTGCCTGCATTTCAAAAATAATGAACATGCTAATTTCAAGTTTGTAAATGATATAAGTGCATGACAAAATGAGAAGTTTATCAACACGAGGGGGAGGCGATGTTTTTATTAGAACTTTATTAACATTGCCACACCGTAAATATGTCCACACTTTTCGCGTCGGTCAATATTTTACGAGACATTTCACTCGGTTGAGCTGGATAAATATAAGCTACGCATTTAGCAAAAACATTAATTTATATATATAAATCTTGCTTTCAACATGTATATTTACCTTGTTTTTAAATCTTCGTTTTCTCTGGACTTCTTTTCAAAATTATTCATTATGGTCGCGTTTTCCTCTTCAATATGTTGAACTCTGTAAATGAAATAAAAAGTCATCCAGCATCCTTGTCCTCCTAATGAAAATAAGTATACGGCGTCGATTCGATAAAATTACAAAATAGACACAGCACACCCTCTAATAATAATAATAAATTAAATAAAAATATATATGGCATTAACATTTAATGTAAACCTTGGTTCTAAACAGAAACACCAATGGGACAATTTTGGAGTTTTTGCGTAAAACGTTGTAAACACTTTGCTGAGTACCCCATTATTTTCAACAAATTATAAAATGTATATGAAACAGCAACATTTCAATACTGACAATTACCCTTTATGAATATAAAATAGAGATGTCATGAATCAGTGAGGTTCGTTGATACAATACTAATACAAATAATCGATATACAAGGAATAATGGTCTTTCTAATACTGGTAATGTTTTAATACTTATTAAGGGCAATTAAAATCATATACTAGTATTTGTATTACAGATTTGTAATAAAAAGACCGTATCAATAACGTGAAACCGTTCGAGAAAGAGATTATGGCACATGTTTTTGATTTTTTAACTTTCTTCCCCGTCTTATCTAACACTTGACCCAATATTAGAATAAACTATCAAAACAGTTATGAAGGGCTCGATTCTTTTCAATTTTTAACTTATTGTATCTGAAAAGGTATAAATGTTAAATATTCAGTTATATTTTCCTTGTCTCATATTTAGTTCGACCAGTTTAAAATGTATACAAAATTTTATAAAAATCAAAAATAACGCCCGGCCAGCTTCGTATACTTCTGAATATCATTCTTAAAATATGACCATTCTTTACTCAATAATATCATAAGGTCTACGATAAATCCTTTATACTGTACGCCTTACCTACGAATCAACTCATTCTTTTCTTGCAGATTTCCCTGAAGTGCTGTCTTTAGTGAAGCATTTTCGTTTTCTAACTGACCATAACTAAAAATATAACATAAATTTATCATATACAATATGTGAATTTTCATAGCTATAATAGATCCCCAAATAATTTGTCCCATCCTAAAAAATGGAACGCCTTATTTTTCAGAGAAAATAATACTGGCAATTTATTCTTACTGTATTATTCATCCCAATTTTATTTGATGATATTGGTTCGAAATTTCCATTTTATGAAATAATGTACATGTGTTTAAAAGGTTGCAACTCCCTCAGGTAAATTTCGTTTGGTTTCTATGCTCTCAAATGTTTTATATGTATGGCTTTCAAACTTTTGTTCAAAGTCATACCCGATTACTATCATTCAAGAACGCCTGTTGTGAGCAACGAAATTATATGAATTGATTCTAGTAATAGAGTGTCGATACTGTAATTCAGTCCACCATTTTCTACATAAGAAAATGCCTGTACTAAGTCAGGAATATGACAGTTGTTAGCCATTTGTTTGATGTGTTTGAGCTTTTGATTTTGCCATTTGATTAGGGACTTTCGGTTTTGAATTTTCCACTGAGTTCAGTATTTTTGTGATTTTATTTTTCACAGTTTATTATATTCGCGCTGTAGCCGCTGCTTCGGTATTGGCACGATTTAGATAGTCCTTTTTTATAAGTAAATTTCAAGGACTTCAAATTACCAAAATGTGCTAAAACCAAGGTTGCTACTCATTCTGGGAATGTTTACCAAGGGAGAGCGGAGGATACTTTGTTTTACGATCTAAAATGTATGACAAGCGTGCATGACAAAATTTGTGCGGTAAGATGGCATATTTTGGTATCAATATTGATTCACTCATATGGTCTTTGCATCGGATATAAACACAATTATTCTAAAACCATTTGTTGGCATGATTCGGGTTATGTTCTTCTCAAATATCTTATGATGATATGATACTAGCCCCTAACGGGAGGGATGTTTGATTTTCATATGATGAAGAAATAATCTTCAATCAGTTTAATTGAGGTCTGGAGCTGGCATGTCAGTAACTGCTAGTAGTCCTTTGCTAATTTATGTATCATTGTCATTTTGCTGAAGTCTTTTGTTACCTATTCTGACATCGGACACGAACTTCTTTTGAACTGAGGTTTACTGTACGTATTGCTGTGTGTTTGATTATTCTACATTGGCTAGTGGTATAGGGAGGGTTGAGATCTCACAAAACATGTTTAACCTCGCCGCATTTTAGCGCCTGTCCCAAGTCAAGAGCCTCTGGCCTTTGTTAGTCTTGTATGTTTGTTAATTTTAGTTCATTTATATGTTTTGAAGTTTAATGTGACGTCCATTTTCACTGAACTAGTACACATTTTGTTTAGGGGCCAGCTGAAGCGGGATTTTCTCGCTGTGTTGAAGACCCATTGGTGGCCTTCGGCTGTTTTCTGTCCTTTGGTCGGGTTGTTGTCTCTTTGGCACATTCCCCATTTCCATTCACAATTGTATATCAGATTAGTAAGTTATTACGACTTTAACCTTTTAACAACTCTTATAGTAATAAGGCATCACGGGTTATAAGGAATACAAAATCTAAGTAAAATATATCAAGAGTGATTCATTATGATGTCGATTCATTTATTTTCGTGGGTACCAATTTTCGTGGACTGATGAAAACCTGTATTATTAGTGGATAATTGATTTCGTGGTTTTGCCAAAATCTGCATACAACCCTCTGGAAAATTTGCAGTTCGTTGAACATTTAAATTCGTGGTTCACCTGTACCCACGAAATCCACGAAAATTGGTATTCAACGATTGATTATGAATTCATAGTACTAAAATTGTTATTTGATTTTGTAGATGGGTATCGGATAACCTCTAGAACTTATAATCGTCAGTGGTGTACATTTTATAATTACAAACAAGAAAGACAATCACGAATGTTGAATATTTCAAAATGGAAAGGAATATGGTAGTTTATAGATATGCATTCAAACAATAAGCAGTCCAAGTCTTATGTGGCCCAAATAATCGTGCCAGTGTTTTCACTAAATAATTCTAGCGGATTTTCATGCTTATGCTTGTACAGGTATATACACATATTACATGAATTACAATACGTACTCATGTGATTTCAAGAAACACATTGAGCAACATTGATTGGTAGTACTACTGTTTTCAATAGCTTTTTAATTTGTCTTTACCTATGCTGAAAATGTGCGAGTCTGTTCTTGATAACCTCGAGTTCTCGATCCTTCTCCTGTACTAACGGTCTGAAATTTTAAAATCTTTAAAAAAATGGAACGAACTTTTCTTTCAAAGACTATAAATCAAAATAAAATGAATCACACGATGCAATAAAACCTAACACGGTTATCTTTTATTTCAAGAGTAGGATATGCAGTGCATAAAGATGCAACAATAATTTCTCATTTTTAATTATAAACATAGAACACAGTTTTGTTTTATCAAAGTGTATCTGACATTACAGAATTACAATTAATGCAATTACCTTAATATCGAATGTCAAATACATGTTGTAATATACTTTTTGCACCTATAATTAAAGCATGGAACTTTGATGAAAACGAATTAGTTACAACAAATTGTTACACAATTGAAATTTTTAGTGCAAATTTAGTAAATCTTATTTGTATGGTAACCAAAGCTCATATAATGATTAATTTTACTTAATGGAGTTCATATGTACATGATTTTGCTCCAGCTGGTGTACTGGGGCTGATAATGTGAATATATGTCATACATGTACCTTAAATGCATCTCATCCTTTTCTTGCTTAGTAGCAGGAAGTGCTTTCTGCAGTGAAGCATTTTCTTTTTCCAACTGATCAAATCTGCAAAATAAAGGTTTAATGAAATCACTCATATTCCATACTGTGTTAAAAATAATGAAGAAAGGTATCCCGACCGGTTTGCTAAATTAACAATGAAACGCATGTACACCCTCAATGAACTTCCAGGATGGGTTAAGTTCTTTGTATTCATTTTTTTTTTAATATTGAAACTGAAAATCTTACAAGTCAAATATTTCTTAAAACGATTGATTTACCCCCATCCACCCATTCCCAATTCCCCAATTAAGAAAATTGCTCGCGACGACAAAATCTCTTATAACCCCATCGAATTCGAGTAGATTATTTATACAATCTTGTATCAATGTGACCAAACAAAACCAGATCATGATTCACCGAAAAAATGTCTTGTTGTTTGCATGGACCTTTTAATTACCACTTGTATATATTTCAAACAAAGAGAATTAAGAACGCTGAAGTTTTAGAATAGTTATGACAAAAAAATGTTACATCCAGTCATATCGAGTCTCTTGTGATAGATGTTAAAATAGTTAAAATATTAAAAATTAAAATAGTGTTAAGAATTAAAACAATTACCGGCGGTTTTCTGTTCGTGTGCCTGTACAGGTAAATTTAGAACTTAATATGTGTATAGAAATAAGAAGATGTGGTATGAGTGCCAATGAGACAACTCTACATTCAAGTCACAATGTGTAAAAAGTAAACAATTATAGGTCAAAGTACGGCCTTCAACACGGCAATATGAGTGCCACTGAGACAATTCTCCACCCAAGTAACAATGTATACAAAGGTAACAATTCAAGGTCAAAGTACGGCCTTCAACACGGAGCCTTGGCTCACACCTAACAACAAGCTATAAAGGGCCCCAAAATGAATATTAGTGTAAAACAATTCAAACAAGAAAACCAACGGTATAATATAAAAATCAAGAAACGAAAAGCACATATGAACTACACCAACAAACGACAACAACTGAACAGCAGGTTCCCGACTTAAGACAGGTTCATAAAAAATGCAGCGGGTTTAAACGTTTTAACAGGCGTCAACTTTCACCCTAACCTGAGATAGTAGTGTAACATTACAACATAAAAAGACACACGATATATTATCAATTGAAATGGCTTATATATAAAATAAAGAATGGTAATTGGGAATGTGTCAAAGAGACAACAACCCGACAAAGAGCAGATAAAGCCGGAGGCCACCAATGGGTCTTCAACACAGCGAGAAAATCCCGCATCCAGAGGTGGGCTTCAGCTGGCCCCTAAGCAACATGTGTACTAGTTTAATGAAAATGGACGCCACACCAAACTACAAAACATATAAATGAACTAAAATTTACAAACATACAAGACTAACAGAGATCCTGACTTTGGACAGGCGTAATAATGCGGCGGGGTTAAACATGTTTTGCGAGATCTCAACCCTCCCCATTTTTAAGGTGTATGTCGACATTTTGTGCTTGGTATAGAATATAACCATAAAAGATTAGATGTGAAATACCTGAACGTATAAGATGTCTGCATGTTGATTATATCTAAGAATGATGTCCTTGTACCGATGATAAAATTTAGTAACTGTTTTGACTAGTTTGTGATATCGAAAACCCTGGTGTAATATTTTTTCAGTAATACAGAGATTTCTTTCGTTAAAATCAAATATGTTGTTACATACACGAACGAATCGAACAAGTTGAGATATATAAACAACATAAGATGGTGACATGGGAACGTCACCATCTAAAAATGGATAATTAACAATAAGAAATGAAAAATCATCTCTTTTATCATAAATTTTGGTATTAAGCTTCCCGTTAAAGATATAGATATCAAGATCTAGGAAAGGGCAGTGTTCATTGTTAGTATTAGCTTTATTTAAAGTCAGTTCAGCAGGATAAATCTCTTTAGTGTACATACTGAAGTCGTCATTATTGAGAACCAATATATCACCCAAATATCTAAAATATACCTATTTATACTCAAATTATAGTGTGAAGCTAAAAGATAAAATGTATCAGTTTAATTAAAGACAAATATTCACAACACAACTTATTTTTTGTTGAATCTAGGCGATTTGTATTATTTAAGTTCCACTGAAAGGATAAAAGATTGATCTGTTAAAAGCATTAATATCTCTGGTCTTGGCAACAATGTTTTAACACAATCCTGAAAATGGGTAAATATCATATTAATATTTTGGAGAGAAATTTGGAAACATTTGCATCTGAGTTTGTTTAAGTTCACCTAAATGTCCTCTTTAAAATGTATTAAACAAAAAAACAGATGATATATCATCTTACTTCAGATTCTTCTATTTTCATATTTTAAAGCTAAATGTTAATAAAAAAAAATAACAATCAAATTTGCATAACTAAAAAACCAAATAAATGGATGTGTTTGACGTAGTGCTATTAAATTAGTTTAAATTCTAGTTAACAGATTCCAAGGGCTAGTAATTCCCTCCTATTATGTATCAAAAATAATCAATTTTAAAATGCATGAAAAATACTGGTACTATAAAATAAAAGTATGATCACTGACACCCCTTCAGTTTTTACCAAATACTCTTGATTACAGCTTTTACTTTTGGATATTGAAGGTTTTATGTATGTTATCTGTTGCTATTTGTGTTCAACTATAACTGCTTACTTATGAAAAATTTTGTCTGCCGTTCACAAAATATGTTCATAGAATTATTCCATTATTTTATAGATCTTTTTTTTAAATTCGTCCTGACAACTATTGTTAAAAGGACATTAGCTGTCAAATTTACTTTCACCGATTTCTCTCAAATTCTTACATTTGATTAATAACAGACTAAAACGTAAATCCAAATTACAAAATGTCTAAAATAAACAATTAACAATGCATGGACTAGATAATATGTATCAGTATTGCGTTTGTATTTTAGTCTAGACGCCATCAACTTTGCAACAAAGATGACCTCCGAAGACTACCGACGATCATATTACCCACTATAAATATAAATAGATAGTGAGCACGTGCAATTGAATGTCACTAGGTCTGTTTGATGTCATGTTATATGTTAACAAATATGTTAATCATCGTTTTACCTATGTAAGCATGATAAATTTAGGCCAAACGGACTACATATAACGAAATATTATAATTTCAAAATTCCGCTTTCATTAATACTTCGAACAAAAAGAATTGTATTTTAAATATTTATCTAACTCGTAGCTAATGCCACTTTAAGTATATTTAATATAAAGGCATGCACATATACTCAATATTCTATCTATTTGGAAGGAACAATTAGGGGTCGTAACGATGCAATGAGAATACAATTAAGAGTTATCAAAATTATTCATGACAGGACTTCATTTCCATATAGGTTACCTTTTTTTTATTGAAATACGCATAATGAAGAGCGAATTACGGCGAAATGATATTTGCCAGAATAGACTTTTATCTCATAATAGTACTTACCTGTCTCGGAGATTTGTTAGTCTGTCATTAGATATCTTGAGTTCTCGATCTTTGTTATGCATCTCTCTAAAATTATATAATAAAACACGAAATTGTTTTTCTTTTTCATAAATATGAATAAATAAAACTACGGCAGTGTTATCTTCCTCGTAAAATGTTTTGTCAGTAATGACAGGTGGTTTGCTATTAAGCGTTCATTGGACACTCATTTTATGATCATAGACTATATATATATATACATATAGCTACTGTACAAAAATATATGTGAGCACGTGATAAATAACATTCGTTTTGATAATTTGTAACTTTAATGCATATTGGAAAGTACAATCAAATTTTGAACGTTCAATCAGACAACCGACTGCAGAGACACATGTGCAATCATCAAAACACATTGTTTTGGCTCGCAAACGACTAGCCTTTTATATGCCCATGCTTACAAATGGCGTGTGCTTAATGAAGAAGCAATGAGCTCCATTTTGTGTCTTCGATTGATACATTCTAGGGGTCCAGCATACGGCACCCCTCTATCAGGCATTTCAACAGTATATGCTGTAAAGTGAAAGTATGCAATGAAAATACTTTGCGCATGTTCATATTCGAATTCCTCGACATCAGCAGGGTAAGTATTAAGGTTCATCAATCATTCTTACATGATAAATATTTAAGATATATCTTGTATCACAATCTCTGCAATTTTGCAGCAACATTAAGACCTTTGATTTTTCTACGCTTTACACTACTATTCCCCATGCTCAATTGAAAGATCGAATTCACTATCTCAGGAAACAGAGCTTTTTCTATAAAAATGGGAATCGTAGATATAAATTTCTTGTTTTGGGTTATAATAATTCTTATTTTGTGAAGAACCACACTGATTCTATCAGAAAATACAGTGAAGATGATATTATTAAAATGCTGGACTTTTTACTTGAAAATATATTTGTTGAGTTTGGAGGATTGATATTTCAACAGACAGTCGGTATTATAATGGGTACTAGATGTGCACCCCTTCTGGCCGACTTGTTTTTGTACTCGTATGAAGCAGAATTCATTCAGAACCTTCTAAAAGACAAAATGAAAATGCACCTTGTAAAATTCTTTAATTTTACTTTCAGATATATTGATGATGTCCTATCACTGAATAAACCATTTTTCAGTCAGTACTTGCATCTCATATATTATCACAGTGAACTTGAAATTAAGGATACTACTGATACAAGAAGGACTGCTTCATATCTTGATTTTTTCCTCAATATTGACACAGATGGACGACTTTACACTAAGATCTATGACAAACGAGATGATTTCAACTTCCTAATTATCAATTTCCCATTTATCAGCAGTAACATACCTCTGCTCCGTCGTATGGTGTTTACATATCTCAATTGATACGTTATGCTCGTGCATGTTCAAACTATACTGACTTTATATACAGGAGTGTGCTCCTTACGCAGAAACTGCTCCAACAGAGTTATGAGGAGGAAAAATTTAAAATGACACTCAGTAAATTTTATGGACACCATCACGAATAGGTTGATCTATACGATGTGTCCGTGTCTAAACTAACTAATGACATTTTTACCACGTCTTAGATTGTGGTTTAACATCTATGTCGTCTGTCTGCTAAGTACCGAACGTGACATATTCCCGAATATGACTCTTATACCGAGTGTGAATTTGCATTGCTATACGATGTGTCTCGGTATTTGGTACATCCAACATTCATGTATTTATTTTTGATGTTTCTGTTATGGTTTCGGTTGGATAATGTGTTATGTCTTATCGTTTGTAGTCCAAATAATTATAAAATAGCCTTTCAATACCATCATTGTCATGAAAATTGTTTGGACTGGTATTTTGAAAATAATTGTATAAAGTTCGAGATTGCATGTTCGTTACGTAAGTGCGTCACAGTTTGTGATGTCCTGTGGTGTCTGTCGTTGATGGAAGATGTTCGTTGTTGTTCTGTGGTTTGCATGTTGTGTCGACTATTATATTATTTGTTTGTGTGTTTCTCAGTGATGAGTGTTCTTGCGTGTGTTTGTGTTGTATTTCTGTCAGGTAGTGTTGTCATTTTAGCGATATTTTTTTAACTTTGTCGTATAAGCGGGAGGTATGGCTAGCCATAAAACCAGGTTCAACTCACCATTTTTTCTTAAAATGTCCTGTACCAAGTCAGGAATATGGCAGTTGTTATCAAATAGTTTGTTTCTATGTATGTTGGCGTTTGTTTTTGTTGCACTTCAGTGTTCATGTTGTTCCTTTGTTTTCCTCTTATAGTTGATGTGTTTACCCTCGGTTTTAGTTTGTAACCCGGATTTGTTTTTTCTCTCAATCGATTTATGAGTTTTGAACACCGGTATACTACTGTTGCCTTTATTTTTGTTTCTTCTTATTCTACGTGTATATATACAAACTAGAACGATTTTAGATGGTCAATACCAGAAAGAAAGAAAAAACGACAAACACCTGGAGAGACACACTCAAAACAAAACAATCAAAAACGCATGCGACTAACAACAACAAAATCAACAATCAAGTACAAGTTTATCCGGAGGTGAGGCTTGATTTATCTAAAAGCTACGAAATTAATAGTATATTGGGTGTCCAGTGCTTGGCATAGGGCCTAACCTGGTTATCATGACGTTTGCATTTTAAATTCTGTAATAAATAGAAGCTTTCGTCAACGATTAACGGGATTAAACACAGCAACTTCCACACGTTCCTGTTTGGGTCTGTAAATTCTGATTGGCTTTTATGTTGTCCAATGCTTTTTTTAGAGCGAAAAAGGTTCTGGTATCTGTACTTACGATTCTCTGCTTTTCTCGTGTAGAATGTTTAACACTGCTACTAAACACTGCTCATAATCATAAACCATATTTTCAATTTCCCTGAAATTCTTTAAGGCTGCTGGTCGTTGAAATCTCATACCTACAGATTCCATTGTATTTCTCTCGCATTCCTCTCTGAAATTCTTGATGTTCACAGACACGAGCTGTAATGTTTCTCGGAGCATTCTAAAATATATAATAATGTATATTTAAACCCGGCAACTTTTAAGACGTTATTGCCTATGTGTATTTATAGCACATTACATAAACATGTACTACACTGTTGATGCGACAATTTAATATTTCAGAGTGAAATGACGTAAAACTAGACATTTTAACAAAATAATAGTAAGGCAGAGTCAGCGTCTTCATAATGTAAATTATAGCAGAAGGTAAACTGAATTATAATATTTTAAAAATTAAAATAAACTTTATCATATGTTATTCATTTTAAAATCTAGATAACGATACAAGTAAAGAAAGGAATACAGAACTAGTTCAAGTTGACAACATTTGAATGTACCAGTCCTGTTTAAGTTCATTGTTAAATCTGTGTTTGATTATCATGGCATTTTACGTATTACAATACAATATGGAATCTTTTTCGCCATTGGTGAGACAAAGTGTCATATGTTCTATATGTCTAATTTGCTGAATTGTTGTGTATTATCGCGTTCAGCCCTTATCTAAATAAAAATATCTAGCAAGATTAAACTTCAATTTGTAAATTTTCTTAAAGAACTGGCTTCACTCACTGCGATTCGACTGTTTTCGAACGGAGTTCTGTTTGCAACTGCTCTTCTCTTTGTTTGTGTACCGCACTGTCATTTAGTTTTGTAGCTAGTTCGTGTCTCTTTCTACAGAGTTAAATAATCATACTAGTTTAGAAATTTGTTTAAAAATATCTCAGGTAAGGCTACATCCTAAAATATTTCTTAAAGTAAAAACAACGAAAAACAAGTCTTAGAATACAAATGTAGTTTAAAGTTATTTTCGTTATAGCTATATTGCAAAACATTATCTTGCACTTAGGTTTTTTATGCATTTATGATGTTCCTATAATTGAACCTGCAAATTCCAATTCTTCCATGACTACCTGCATTAAAAAAATGAATTGTCCGTTCAGCGTATTTCCATAACATAATAGTTTAGGCTGTGCATGTTTAAATGTATCAATATGTTACATGTAAACATATATATATATTAAAAATGATTAATTGCTTGTTGCTTGCTTATTGTCCAGTGGTAAATATTCAAAACATAATTAGGACGAGAACAGTTAAATAAACAATAATACCATTAGGTCATGTCTATCGGCTTGAATGGCGGAAAATTTCGACAGCCATTAAAAATGAGGTTATGCTTGAAACTTCGCTTGTTAAAGATTCCGTAATCTTATAGAAGTAACTCACTGTTCTTCCTCTCTTTTTAGAAGGGATTTTGCCTTCAAGTTTTCTTCATATTGTTGTAAATGTGACTTTTCTGTTGATATCGTCTCCTTTTTTGGTGCTGCAACAGGATCGCCTTTCTTTCTAAATAGTTAAATTGTCTCGTGTATTTTTAATATTATTTTTTCAATCACTAAAAGCATTACTAATTACTAATACATAAACAAGAGAACCAACAGAGCCTGTGTCGCTCACCAGGATCTATGCGCATCCTCAACAATGATCTTCTCTCCAATAGTATATGTAATTTAATTCATGACCTAAATATGTTTTTGTAAATCTTTTTACTGATTATATTAGCTGAATAAAGTTTTTTCCGTCTATAATATATAGTTTCCCAGATAATAGACAAATACAAAAATGAGTAATCACAAATGGTCATTTAAGGGTCATTACTCCTGCAGGGTCATCAAACTGTTTTGGTCAAATAAGCATTCATGTTGATCTCGTATTTTCGATAATTTCTACAGTTTAAACCTGATCTTTTTATATGATAGCCAAAAACATGAAATAAAAACAATAAAAAAAACATCGTCATTTAAGGACAATTACATTTAGAACTCATTTAAGGAGCTATCTGATTTTTTTTGTAAAAATAAGTAGGTAATTCCTGACATTCTGAGCCTTTTGTGTTCTTGACAGATTTTTCTATTTATTAAAGTTTTAACGGTATATTCCATTAATGTAGTTTATACTTATGTTTTATTTTTAACTGTCGTAGCAGTGTTTGTTGATTGACCGGGGAATTTAAACAAAAATACAATCGTATACCATGAGATTCGTCCATTTCTATTGTGATTGAAATTGGTTCTGTAGTTTTAGAGGAGATCTTTAAAAAGGTGTACGACGGACGGACGGACGGACAACGCCATGTAATGGAAAAGCTCACATGTCCTCTTATGACAGCTAAGATAAAAAGGTTATTACCAAAAAAACAAGAAAGAACAACAGATCCTATCGAATGCAAACATGCGACTCCTTCGAAAAAATAGCTGTACAAACACAGCATAAAAAGAAAAACAACAACGAACAAAATATGTTCCAAATAGCTTGACTTTGTATAGTCATAGAATTGATGTTTTTAAACCAGTTTTACGAGCACTCATACTTTTCCTTTTACCAATCTATACCATACGTCGTAAAATTTAAACTTACAGTAAAAAAATACTACACCGTCCAGCTGTAGCTACCAACTTAATGACTAATGACTTAAATTAGAAAATTAAAGACGGCACATAATTTGGAAAGCAGAATCTTCTTGTGCTCACTACTACAGAAATCTAACTAAGTTACATGTACAACAGTGTTTGGTTGAATACTGCCGCATATGATATATATAACTTCCAGTTGCTATAATATTCCAGGACATGCGTTTCCTATATAATAGATTTCCGTGATATATATTTGCTGTTTACAAGGATGATATTGCGCCAACTGTCAATTCATGATTCCTTGGAACATTTTATAAACGCCATCATGATTCGATTGACCGTAATGGAATATCTTTGTCACAAATGACCACTTATGTCGGTATTACATGTGGTGCAGAATCTGCTTACCCATCAGGAGCACCTGAAACCATCCCCGGTTTTTTGTTTTGGGTTACTGTTGCTCAGTCTTTAGTTTTCTATGTTGTGTTTTGTATACTGTTGTTTGTCTTTTGGTCTTTTTCTTTTTTTTGCCACACCGTTGTCAGTTGAAATATCCTTTTGTATCTTTCGCATCTCTTTTGATTGTGACATCACCGAATGTGACTTATCGTTGGGTTTTTTCCTGCCATGAACAACAGCAAATATCTGATCGCGATGTACAAGGATCGGCAGCGCTTTTGTATAAAATTGTTACAAACATTTATTAAACTATTTTACAATTGACAGTATTCATAATACACATTTTCCTATGTTTTTTCCAATTCATTTATGTATATATGTGTACACAACAATTACCTTATTTGAATTCTAATAAGTGGACTCTTTGTTTCACGATCTGATGTTTCCTCGTACAATAATTCCATCTCTGTATCTTCATTGCACTTTGCTGGAGTGTTTGCATATTTTTCGACCGCACATTTGTACTGTTTAAATTGCGATATAAATTCGTCTGCTCTATTAGTTGACATTAACCTTGTTAGCGCATTTTGTATTTCTTCATAGAAATATCTTGCTGCCTTCAACTGTTTTATTTGCTTAAACAATATCTCAAGTTCTTGTGTTGGGTAGGTTTCGATGTCAAGCCATGTTATTCGGCGGGCGAATAATTTGTTTCCTAAACCGTACGTCCTACCGTACGGGAAGCTGTGAACTATATCTGTTAACTGCGCTTTAAAATGTGCAACTTTTGTCTCCCTTTTGTCGATGTCATAACGATTTGACTGAAGACAGTTTACTATTTCAGCCTTTTCTCTCTCGATTTGTTTCATTATTTCGTCTTTGACTTTTGATAAACTGAGCAGAATGTGATGCTTATGACTAAAATCGACACAGTCTATACATACCATTGTCTCACAATCACTACAATATGAAATAAATTGTTTGTTGTAATGAATTATACATCTTTTCCTGCTGGAGTCAGAGGGAAATCTGAAAACATGATCATGGTGATTCTGACTGTGAATACGTTGACAGCTGTAACACTGAGGCTTGTGACATTGCATGCAGTAATGAACTGAACTGCGAGTACAGTCCTCGCACTTGATATTCATTTTGTGTTATTTTTCTTTAAACTTCCTCGTAGTCTATTCTTCAACAAGGGCAATAACTTTTATTGTAAATCAATACGTAAAGTTAGTGTAAATAAAACGAAAGTATTATCTTTATTTACTCAAGATGTTATTTTTAGATACATTGCTGAATAAGGGGATTAATTAGATATTCAAAAATTCTAATTCAATATCAAAATTAACACGATCTCGCCATTGGTAATATTTTTCACGGTGAATGTGCATGCACTTTTAATGATGCAACTTTTAAGTTAAATGCTGTACAAATGCGAAAAACTACGGACATATAATTGAAGATATCTAGCAAAATTAGATTTTTCATACAGCTGGTCAACATAATCATGATAATGCCAGGGGCCCCTAATGACCTTTCGTATTGTGTAAAAATATGGGTTAATGGAAACTGTAATAATTAAATATAACAATTTAAAATGTTGCTAATGGAAGACCTATTTTGATCTTTATAAAATGCACCATATTTCATTAGATTTTCTATTGTAAAAATGTGAGGGTATAAACCCGGGTTTACATGTATACATGTAGATAGGTGCTGGCCTGAGAACACAGTTAATTTATAGTGTATTTTTTTTATTAGAACAATAAATGCAACTTCAAAAAAATCCAACTATATTTTCTCATTATCAAGATTATAATTTAAAAGTATGAAAATCCAATTAATAATGTAATGAAAATATCTGACAAAAAGTGCACTGCTATTGATCTGAAAGCAGCAAAATAGATGACGTATATCCCAAACTAAGTTGAAAATGAGGCTAACATGATAACGAGGTACATAAGGGTGACTAAAACTGAAATAATCCTTTATATGAACATCAATTATCCAAATTATTGTTAATCTATAGTCATCCTTAATGTTGACAGGTGACAATGATTATCCTTCCGACATAAATGTAAGAGCCAAATAACTTTATTGTTAAAGACAGTATTTGACCTTAATAATGTCTTATGTTTCCAAGACAAAAATATCTCACTGATGTATACCTTGCATCTTCTTTGATAATCCAGTATTGTGATAAGTGACCAATTATCTTTGTGTTGTTTTTCAGTGGGGAATAATTGTACCCTCAGACTAAATAAAGATCCAGTGCTAATAAAACTATTTATTAAAAACTAATAATTAATATAAAAAGAAATATTACATCGGAAAAACTGGGGCCTAACAGCTGCATACACATAATAAACATTAAGAGTTATCCCCCTTTAAACATATAAATGAAAATTAATATACAGAAAACTTGGGGGATGAGATAAAATTTGATGATAAAAGTATACGAAGTGGTATCACTGCTGCCGAGCCGAGACTTATCTGACAAGGATAGAACTAGCTGCTTTAGGCTCAGTAGTAAGTAGTCATTTATCCACTACGTTACGGCTCACTCGTCTACTTTGGACACATTATAGAAAATTCTACCAGCTCTAACTGAAATTATGGACAATTTAAGTTGAAGGGGTGTATAATTCAGTTTGACAGCTTCGGACATACTTTTTCAACTGGACCAAATAACTGCTTTACCTTGGAATTCATGACCAAATTTTTGTTTGTTATTTAGTTTTTTTACGGGTACTATTTTATGCATTAAATATAAATAAATAATTTTTTGATTTTTTTTCAAGTTATACACTGTCCACACTAGTTTTGTAGACAATGAAAATCAAAGGACGAGTACTGTGTCCCCGGACCTGCTGTGATGAGCAGTAGAGATAATAATGGATATTGAACTATAAACATGACATATATAAGAGTGGGTTTTATTTATTTGTATTATGTTAGAGAAAGTATTTTGACCTATATATGTTTTTTTTTTTTTTGTATAGTTGTGTTGCTGTCTCAGTAGTGTAATTCCTAAACAGCTGTCTTTTAAATGGTGAATTTCTGCTTGGTTTCAATCTTCATGGCAGATATTGAATGAGATTACAGATCTTACGTCATATTATATTAAGCTGTGTTGTTTATGTTGTAGTGTTTTAGCAATCATTGACGTCGGTTGTTTATATAGAACACATACGAAATCTTGAGGTTGTGAAATTGTTTAGAACTAAAAAATCTAGCATTTGGGGCCAAACAAAATAATCCAATGGCATGTATGGAATTTGAGCTTTTTGATGATTTTTTTAAAAATTATAAGTTTGTTGCGTACCATATTGAAAGAAATGTCAAATGAATTTAATTATCAGTTTATGCCTTGTAGAAGTTATTACCTCGAAGTCAGTTTTTGTAACAATTTTAGGGTTTTCATTCTATACCCTCATTACACATACATATTATGTCATACTATAGTCCATCCATTTATCCGTATGTCACCACTTCGTAACACACCTCTCCATTAAATTTCACATAAAAACGATCCGTTTAATTTTTTCATTGCCACTCATTATACTTTTTTATGAAATTTAAGCACATTGCCACATTCTTTCTCTTTCCTCTTCCGAGACATTTTCAAACTTGAACTTGTCCGCAGCAGTTTTTCAAAAACGCTTATCAGAATTACCGATAGTGATAGACACATGGGGTCTTCAGTAATGATCACAGGATCATATGACACTTCAAGGTTTAAAGGTCAATGGTCATTTATGACCTTGACCTTTGACCTTAAACATTATCTTTTTTAATTTCACAAAATTTTTACTGAAATTTTAGAATCGAAAGAATTGAAAATGTTCTACATGATAAAACAAATCAAATGAAATGTAGTGTTAGTCTCCAGCTGTCATCTCCACCCCCTGCCATTTGAGAATGTTCTATCATCTTGTAAATGTTCGAGATCCCCACCCCTAAAATCATAATATTACTGTTTTTATGTCAAAATGATTTGAATGATATAAAGGGTTAGTCCTCAATGGTCATCCCCACCCCATGTCATTTGATATGATTAAATAGCTTGTAAGTGGTCGAGATCCCCACCCCTAAACAATACCTATATATATATATATATATATATATATTACTGTGTATCATGTCAAACTGATTTGAATAATCAGGGAACAGTATATCTATCTAGTCAATATATATGTTCCTGGAATAATATACAGGGTAAGTATCCAGAGGTCATCCCCACCCCTGTCATTTAAATTTTAAATATGTTCAATTATCTTGTAAATAGTCGAAATCTCCACCCCTTAACCGTATATATTTCTGTTCGTCACGTCAAAATGATTTGGTTAATATATAGTGTTAGTGCCAAGGGGTCCTATTACAATAATTTCTTTTTTACTTTGGTCATTACCGAGTTGTTGGCTTTATTCATAAAAAAATCAATATGTTTTCCATGTCTTTACTTACTCCAGTATGCAATATACTAAGTATGCTTTGATTGGGTTTTTTTTAAACTTTACACTGTAATTAAGAATGATAAAAGGAAGCCCAGTTTTGATTAAAATGTTTTGCTTGTTGTTCCAAAGTTACTGTGGATTTTCAGATTTAAGTATATTTTTCACATGTTGTATCATAACTTGAGTTTCCTTGAATCGACTTACAGGAAATTTTGCATAATTGATAGAATTGGTTAAAGTGAGATTCCTTTTGATTTTGAAATATATTAGATTCGTCATTAGATACTAGATAGTTATAGGAATTAAACATCAGATTTGAGGCAACTTTTTACATGTCACACAATATATAAAATAAGAAGATGTGGCATGATTGCCAATGAGACGAACCGCCACAAGAGACCATATGAAGCAAAAGTTAGCAACAATTCAAACGAGAAAACTAACGGCCTGACTACGTACATAACATCACACGAAAAACAAATATGATACACAGCAACAAAAGACATATACTGAATTACATACTCCTAACATGGGTCAGGCATATCAGAGTTCCAGATAAGCTGCATATTTGCGTGATTATACAATTTGGCATTTTAAGTATTCAAACACACAAAAAGTGCAAATAAGAACCCATTTAAATATCAAAACTATGCGTTCTCGGCCCTTCAAGCTGCTGTCAGGTACGTAATTTACATTTTTTTTTGTAATTTTGGGAAACCTACTTTTGTTCTAAAAATGAAGTGCCCAATCAAATATCTAGCTTGGGTCCCCATTGGAATTTCTTAATCGTTTGTATCAAATTTTGTATTCCTAGTAAACAACAGGCAACAGTTAATATTTTGTTTGTTTGTTTGCCAACCACAAAACTTGGGTCAAATGTAGGAATATAGCCCTGTTAGCGCTCGAGTTGTATTGAATGCTATGACAAAAAACTTCAATCTAAGGCACAGTAACAACATCAGTGTAGCGTTCTCGCATCGAGTGCAGGAAGTTGCCGTTTTGAACCCCGACCAGGTCAAAGCAAAGATTTGAAAATTGGCTAATGCGGAATTACTCTTACGATAGGAGCATCAGTTTCCTAAGAAAATTGTATTTATTATATACTAGAAAATATCGTATTATTTCAAATTCATATAACATTATGGTCTATTTTATTTATAACTCTACTTTTTGTTTTTTAAGGTTGTCTATCCCTAGAAAAGTGGGACGAAAGATACCAGAGGGACAGTCAAACTCATAGATCGAAAACAAACTGACAACGCCATGGCCAAAAATAAAAAGACAAACAGACAAATAATAGTACAGATGACACAACATAGAAAACCAAAGACTAAGCAACACGAACCCCACCAAAAACTGGGGGTGATCTCAGGTGCTCCGGAAGGGTAAGCAGATCCTGCTCCACATGTGGCACACGTCGTGTTGCTTATGTTATTACAAACCCGGTAAGTCACATTCGTGAAAAGGGAGGGCATTGTAGTTACGACATAAGGAACATATCCGATATCATCTGTGAAACGGTTATTCCCTAACGGTCAACCAACTCGTGATGGCGTCCGTAAAATTTACGAAGGGATGACTTCAACTTCACCATTTGGAACTCTTGGTTTAATAGCTTCCATGTGAGCAGCAATCCTCTATCAAGGAAATCATGATAGGAAACACAAGCCCAGGAATACCGTATCAATTGGGAGATATATACTCCGTATG